ACGCAAACAAAGAGTGAAGCTGAAAACTGATGAAGATAGCTTTGCATTGGTTGTAATAGTTTTCCAACACAATTCGTGACTAATTATCACAACCGAAATACAAGAAGATCGGCGTGCAATGAACTCATAACACCTGTATTCTCGCAATAATCGCAACGAAGAAAACGCGTGAACTTTGCTCGAGGCCTTATAAATAATACAGAAAGACCAAAACATTTGACTCAAGGTATCACTGACTTGCACGCTCAACAATTTATACCGATTCTCACGAATCCTTTGAAGACTTAAAAGCGACATCGCATAATCTGTTTTGTTCTATGTTAATAATTTGTTGTAGTCAACAAACCCTGTACTGTATAGTGAGTTCGATGCCATTCTTCTTCTTTTGTAAACAAGCATTTTTCCGAAACACGCATTCGTTCGCGTGCGTTTCGCCCAGAGAGTCGCATACAGGAGAGAATTCATAGCCACAGTTTTCATTTGCACAACATTCACCTAGATATATCTATACATAGTTTAGTAGCTGAAGTAACATAAAGTGACACGAATTAGATAAGCCTTACCGTCAAATAATTTTGTAATGGGCGTAGATGTGATCTTCTTTGCAAGAAAACAGTTTAGCTTGTCAAGATAACACTCATTCACGACCGTTTCTCCTGTAACAGCAGGTTCTTATGAGAGTTGAGAAAGGTTTGCGCGAGCTCCCAGGTGCCGGAGTTGAGGCAGCGAATGCCAGTACCGTTCTAGCAAAGAGCGTACGCCTCGCGATTTACGGGCACGGTGCCAGCACGGTGCCAGCACAAAGCTGGAATATGGCTATTGATCGGCACTGGCAGCGCTGACACGGCAGCTCTGGACACGGCCTGAGTGGCGAGATCCTGATACAGTACCGTTAGAAGCGCAGATAGGCTTGTAAGTTTTTGGGCAGTCCTTGTCGCATGTGCTGTCTTCACAAACATCAAATTTGTCAATAGTTATGTTCTTCCCGGTGACCCTTTCCACAATGCATCGCTCTCTCCCGAAAAAGCAGAGGTTCTATAAAAAAACCATGAGTCACTAAAGACTGGTGAAATTGAGATGATCAGCACCTGGTGAGTTATACCCTGATCATCGCAAACAGGACTGAAATGACTAGGACAATCCATAGAGCAGCACTCACCATTGTAAGCCAATTCAACTGTGGTACTGTAAATAAATTCAAATGGCATGGTCTTGGTGAGCTTTATAAATGGATTTATACCCTAAGTGGCAGTTAGCAGCTTTCATGTGACAAAGATTTGTGTAGGTGATATCGTCTGAACCACAGACGGGTGCATAGATGTTGTCACATCCGACAGGACAGTCAGTGGGCGGTGGCGGCTCAGTTGTGGTGGTGGTTGGTGTTTCTGGAAAATTTTCTTAGTTTATGTCTAACATGTTTTCCTAGACTGTTTACCTTCTTCAACCAATCTCTCCAAGACTGCCAAGGCTTCCTTTGCTTCTTTTGTAATGGGTGGAGGTCTGCAGAAATAATTTTGATGCAGAAAAAAAATCGCTTGTAGAGTCACTTTGCCGTATTTTGGTTCAACGTAGGGCAATTCTCACTCACGGGCACCATTCGTCTTAACTCTCGATGAGGGCTCATGCTGTAGATGAAGTGCCTGCATGGGCAACGGTACACAGACAGGCTTCTGCATTTCAGATAAGCGCTTAGCTGACTTGAGTGGTACCCTAGCACCCCCTTGCATCCACCATAGGGTGAATAGCGATAGACGAATTTCGGCGAACTTCGATGGTGTCGGTATTTTTCCTTCAGAAACTAGGAACGTGCATAAAACTTCAACAAACTTACTCCTCGCACGGTTTCGAAAAGGCCACTTTGACTTCGGGTACTTGGAGCTTTTTATTTCGGCAGTTTTCGACACTGAGTGAACAGTTGTTTCTGTAGGTTCTGCCATCAGATCCACACAGCGGCGATGATGGTTCCATGTCGCAGGGCACGGGGGGCTCACAGCATCGACCAGCCTGTAAACTTGGGTTTCGTCCTGAGAAAGTGTTTATGCAGGAGAGATAAGCAACAGATGGTGAACCCACATGTTGGATAGTTATATTCACTCCCAAACTTCGTTCAACAATGCAACTGAGCATTTGGTATTCACAGACAGAATGGGTAAATCCCTCCTGGTCGCAGACGAAGGCGTCATCTGGTGCGTCTTCTTCTATGGGTGGACACGGAGTCGGCAAACATTCCTCGCACCTTCCTGAGAAATATGATACATGATAATGAGTAACTCTTAGTTCGTTGTCAACGAATTGTAAAGCTTGCTGTTGAAGCAAGGTTGAAGCAAAGTTGAAGCAAA